AAATTTTACCATATGTGATAGCACACATCCATAATCCCAGCATGCAGGAGGCTGAAGCAGGAAGATCACTGAGTTCAAGGCCAGCCTAGACTACATAATGAATTCAAGGCCAATCTGAACTATACAGCAAGACTCTGTCACAAAAATAAATAAAATAAAATATAATATAATATAAAATAAAATAACCAAAATCTCCTGCTATAGTTTTTAAAAACTGAAAATTTTTCATATAGTTTTTTGCTCCTGATTCTCACTATAAATCTGGCTAAAAGCTTCCAGCAGTACTCATGCCACAGCCTGAATGTTGGGCAGCCTTAAAATTTCCTCCTTCATATTAATTAATTCACCACCCTTAATCTCAGACTCCCACAGGGCTTCAGGACATGGGCAAATGTAGACAAATTTTCCACTGGAGCACAACGTACATGGTCTCTAGACCAACTGCCAATCGAGTCTTTGTTCTCACTGAAACCTCCTGAGAATAGCCCTTAGTGTCTGCATTTCTACAGCATTCTGATCTGTGCTCTGAGTAGAATCTCCCATTAAGCTCAGTTTATAGCATCCTAGGACTTCTTAAACTGGCGTCTTCAAACCTTTCCAAACTGCTCCCATGAACCAGTTTCAAAGGCTTCTGAACCACATGGTCAGGTATAGTCACAGCAACAACCCAGTTCTTTGGCACCAAAATTTGTCTGAGTCACATTCCTTGTTGCTAGGACAAAATACCCAACACCCACATCTTAAAAGAGGAGGGGTTTATTTTGGCTCAGATGTGATTGGCTGACTTCAAAGCAGAGATGGAAGGGCCTGGGTGTAGGAAAGCTGCTTATCCCATGTCTTCCAGGATGCAGAGAGAGAAAGAAGGAGCTGGGGAGGGATAGACACCCCCAGTGGAATGACACCGCCAAGCAGGCCTTGCTTCCTAACAGCATGTTCAGCTCTGAGCTCATCAGTGGATGAATCCATAGTGAGTACAATGCCTATTTGATCCAGTCATTTGCCCAGAGCCCCATCCCTGACCATGTGAGGCTTTGGGGGACTTTTTTTTTTTCAGACAGGGTCTCATTATGTACTGCAGGCTGGCCTTGAACTTACTCAGGTAACCCAGGATGGCCTCGAACTTAGAGCAATCATCCTGCCTCAGCCTCCTGAGTGCTGGAGTTACAGACTTGCACCACCACCTTGGAGGACATTTTAGATCTCACCCATAACAGTAGGTCAAAAGGATACTTGTTCACTATCCTTCCTATGTCAGCTAAGTTTTCCCAGGTACTTTGTATGCTAAGTGGGTTTTTTGGGGGGCTGGGGATTTAGCTCAGAGGCACAATGCCTGCCTGGCAAGCACAAGGTCGTGAATTTGATTGCCGGTACTGCAAAAAAAATCAAAAACCAAAAAAAAAAAAAAAAAGGAGGGGGCGTTGGTTGGTAGGTTGGCTTGTTGTTGTTTGTTTGTTTGTTTTGTCTTTCTGAGACAGGATTTCACTATGCAGTTCAGGCTGACCTCAAACTCACAGCAATCCTCTTGCCTCAGCCTCCTGAGTCCTGGGATTACAGGCCTGCACCACCATGCCCAGCAGTAGTCTTGTATTTTATCCAGAATACATCTGACTTTAGGTACAATACTATGGAACTATTTAAAATTGTCTGCTAATTTTTATTTTAGCAGACTATATGTTCAGTTGAAGTTAACTAGCTTTCTGTGGTTTATGGTTTTCAGAGTGCACCAATTTAGAAAACTTTTGTCGTGACAGTTGGAGCTCTCTTGAATGTGAACTGTACAGTGGCCACCTGGCATCCGGCCAGCAATCTATGCCTTAATTATTTTTCTATAGTCTTTTCATACCCGTGCAAGAGCAGCTCAGTTTGAGCCTGAGTTGCAGAGTGATTTTCTAAACTCGTTCCTCTCCACAATCTTCACATGTCACTCTTAGACCTTCTCTTCTGGTTTTCTGGAAACAAAACTGAGACTTTAGTTCCTGCAGTCCTGGGCACTTTCTGTGTTTGAGGCTGTGTCCATGCCAAGTACCAAGGATTTAGGAAGTAACAAAAGTAACGGACATAAGTGTGACTCTTGGGAAATCAGCTCCTCAAATGAGAAAGGAATGTTCGTTCCAATTAGCTCCACTGTCACTGCTGTGACCACAGAATTTCCTGGATTCTGGGTGATGTAGGATGGAAAGAATAATAGTCATAAGCAAAAGAAAATGAAGAGTAAAGGAAAATTACAGAGTTGCTCAGAGTCTTAGGAGTTCCCTTTACCTTCTTCAAGCCAGAAGAGTTGGGTTCCTTCTGGAATTCTATCTGCCTTCTCGTGTCCCTTCCAGGTCCCAAGCTGCCTTGGGAACAAGGCATAGGACATAGGGGAAAATAGAAAACTTTCTTCTGGTTAGGTATTTTGAAACATGTTTTTGTCCCTTTCCTGTCTGCCCCCCTTTTATTTATTTATTTATTTATTTATTTGCGACAGGGTCATCTACACAGTTCAGGTTGGGTTTGAACTCACTATGTAGCCCAGGCTTCCCTCAAACTCACAGCAATCCTCCTGCCTCAGTCTCCCAAGTGCTTCGATTACAGGCGTGCACCACCACATCAAGCTGTTATTGGTTCTTCTTTTTTTATTTTAAAGAGAAAAAAGATAAACAATGAAACCAAGTCAAAACAGGTTAGTAGGACAGCTATAATATATTGGTTCTTATAGTATGCCAATAACCAGTTTGGATTTTACTCTTTATTACTGCTGATTTCTTTTCTATTGTTTATGGTGTCATGGTTATTGCTTTTACTTGCTTTTTACTGCATGCCATTATCTGGTTTGTTTTTATGTCATCGACACTAC